GCCGCTCGCGGGCTCTCGCGGGCCCCGGCACCGCGCCCCCGTGGGGCCCGCCGGGGAGCAGCTCAGGGCGAGGAGCTGGTCCCTATGGGAGATGCCCACGGAGTCTGTGGGAAAAAAAATTACAACAACACGCACAAAACAAAACACACACACACACACACACGCACACGCACACGCACACGCACACGCACACGCAACCGCAACCGCACACGCACACGCACACGCACACGCACACGCACACGCACACGCACACGCACACGCACACGCACACGCACGCGCACGCGCACGCACGCGCACGCACGCACGCACGCACGCGCACGCACGCACACGCACGCACGCACGCGCACGCACGCACGCACGCACGCACACACACACACACACACACACACACACACACACACACACACACACACACACACACACACACACACACACACACACACACACACACACCGCTCCACCACCCCACCTCCCGCTGCTCCACCGGGGCCTCCCGCGGCCGCCTGCAGGGCTCCCGCGGCCCCCCTGGGGCCCTCGGTCTCCCCTTCTTTTGCTTGGAGCCCCTGGGGGGGTCTCTGGAGGCGAGGCCTCCGGAGGCTCCTGGAAGCACGCATACGCAACCGCACACGCACACGCACACGCACACACACACGCACACGCACACGCACACGCACACACACGCACACACACACACACACACACACACACACGTGTTTTTGTGTGTGTGTGTGTATTTTTTTGTGTTTTTTTCCCACGGACCCGCCTGCCTCAGGATCCGTCCTCTCTCGGGCCAGGAGACTTTCAGAGACCCTGCCCGCCAGCACCTGGCAGCCTGGCACGCCCACGTCGTGCAGGCACAGTGGCGGGCTGGCCGGCCCCGACTGCGCGTGAGGCCTACAGGGGAGTCCTGAAGGACCGCTCCGGCACCTCGTCCGCGACAGCCCGCGCTCGACGCGATGGGCCGCGAATGCTTCGCCGCTGCCAGGTGTGCCGCAGACATCTCCGCCCGGATTTTCAGGGGAAGTGGCCTTGAGGCCCTGCGCTGTTTCCGGCCTTTGGGGGGGGCCCCCCTGGAGGCCCCCCCCGTGTGCAAGAACACGCCGCCACGCCACAGGGCGGCCCAGTCGGGCCACGATCTCGTGCCATTCGCCGTGAGCATAAGAGCGGTGGCGAAGCACCAGGTTACACCTTCTTCTTTGGTGCCCGTCGGGTTTCCCTGGATTGTTCTGTGTCGATCCTCCGCTCACCTTGAATCACGTCGTTCTTAGCTTTGAGGTGGCATCTCGTGCCCCGCGCCGTAAGCAAGAGAGCGTGGGCGAAGCACTACGCTCGGAAACGTTTGGTCGGCGTGTCGAGCCGCCGGTTCTGGCCCACCATTTTGGGGCGCGACACGTCATCCATCTCGAGGTCCCCAGGCGTCAAAATCACGAGCTTTGCCAAGCCTCCCGCTCCGCGGAACGGAGCGACACGCTATCCGCTTGCATGGCCCAGCGTGTCACCGGGACCGCCGCGGCGACATGCTCCGACCGTCGGTCCGTCGGTTGCTCCGTTCTCGTTCGTGCCCGTCGGTAATTCGCTGGGTTTTTGTCTGGCAATCCTCTGCTCGTCTTGGATCACGTCGTCCTCAGCCTTGAGGTGGCACGTTGGACGTTTTCTTGTGTACATCGGAATGCATCGACAGCGCATCCAAGTTCGCGGTGGTTTACGTCGGAACGTTGCCGACGAGCTCGTTGGAACAATAGCAGAGCGCGAACCCGTTTGCGGGCGGCTTCCTTCGGCAGCATTCGGTTCCCGTCGCTTCTTTGTTTTTTGATTTCTCTCTCTCTCTCTCTTTATTACTCTCTCTCTGTGTCTATGTATATATGGTTCGGTTTATCTCTCTCTCTCTCTCTCATCTCTGTATCTACACATATACATACATGCATGCATGCATACATACATACACATACATGCACACACACATACACACATACATACATACATACATACATACATACATACATACGTCTTGGTGATCGGACCCCCCCCCGTAAAGTTTGACCCGCGAGGTCCGTCACGCTGATCATGTCGGTGGAAGCGTTGGTAGTCGTCGCCGTGGCCACGGATGTCATGGCGGAGGTAGCGGTAGCGAGAGTAATGGTGGTAGCGGAGGCAGCCGTGGCGCAGTTGTGACCAGAACCTACGCGCGCGTGTGGCCATACAGTATACCTATCTGGATGCATGTATGTCTGTATGTCTGTATATATATGTATATATATATGTGTGTGTGTAATCTATCTATATATAATAGATAAAGGTATGTGTTTTGTGTGTATGTGTTTGTTTCTGCACCTCGCTGGGGGCGTCTCCTGAACTGGCCTCTCCTTTCTCTTTTCTTTCCCCTGTCGGAGCGGCGCGTGCCCCGGCGGTGGCCAAGGTTGCCCTCTGCGGCATGCAGCTGCTGCTCGCCCTGCTGCCCCACAGCGACCCGCAGTGGCGCCGGGCGGCGCTGGATGGCGAGGACTGCGGGGCACTGGAGTGTCATTGCTTTTGGCCTGCCATGTCAGGGATAGGGACAAGTTCGAGTCTAGTCTGGCGTTGTTGTGGCGTTTTTGTTGCGGACGATCCGTGGAGCCGTAACTGGAGCTCCCAGTGGAGCACGATCTGTGTGAGGGGTGTGCCGGATGGGTAGGGACGCATGTGAACCCTCCCGGTGAAACCGTAGGTGGAGCTCCATGTGGTGCACGATCCGCGTGTGGGGTGCCACGAAATTGCGGGGCGGGTTGCATGTGAACCCTCCCACTGGAGCAGTAGGTGGGGCTTCCTGTGAAGCACGAAACGCGCGAGAGGTACGCCGAACTGGGCGGGGGGACGTACGCAAACTTTCCAATTTTTGGCCGCAGGTGGAGTCCCTGTGGATAACGAAACGTGTGAGGGGCGCGCTGGAGAGGGACCGGGAACGCATGTGGACTTTCTAATCGGGGTCGTAGGTGGAGTTTTTGTAATGGGGTCTGATTTTCGAGAGGGGTGTGCAGAGATCTGCGTGGGCACGCCATGCGGACTGTCCTTCTGGGGCCGTAAGTTGAGATCCCCATGGGGCCACGATCCTCGTGAGGGGCGTGCCGAGATGGGCTTGCGTACGGCAGGCGGACTTGCCCATTCGGGCCGCAGGTGGAGCTCCCCTATCGGGGGCGAAACGTGCGAATGGTGTGCTGGAGTGGACACGCGGATGTCAGAGCAGGGATAGTGAGATGAGGAGCGGGAGGAGGCATGAGTGGGGAGAGAGGAGACGCGCGGCGCAGCGGATTCAAGGCGAGTTTCCAACTTCACACAGGGGGGGTGGGAAAAAGACACGTCCGAAGCGTTGATCGCCGCCAAATGTTGGTGGCCCCCGACGCTAGCGCCAGGTAGCACTGATCGCTGCCACCCCCTTTAGCCCCAATGGCACCAATCTCGGCCAGCGCCGAGTGGTCGCCAGCTTCGAGTCCGAGAGGTTCGAGCTGGCGCCGACTATCCCAGACATCTGCCGTCTCGAACAAAATCGAGGCGGCGCTTTTTGAATCCATTCGCTGTCTTTGGAGGCCGCTTTGGAGCCCCAGGATCATTAAGAACAACTCCGGATGGAAAACTGGACCCAGGGGTTCGGGGGGGGGGTCATGCCTCGACACACATCGAGCCGCTGGATGTTTGGTAACAGCTTCCGGAGGGCGTTCTCAGAGTGACTTCCCGCGGCGCAGAGCCAGGGTGACAAATGAAGCACCCCCCACATCGGTCCAGTAGATCCATTCATCCATCTATCCGCTCGCCTCCTCTCAAGCAGTGGCGAAGCGTACCGACTTTTCGTGGGCCCGCCCAAGAATATTCTAAGAACCGTGTGTGGTTCGCTCGAGCTGTTCTTATAATATTCCTGGCTGAGTCCGTATTGTTTTACTACATCAGCTCCCTGTCATAAGAACATTGTGCGGCAAGGTGCAAGCAACCCATTGATGCGCAGTGGCCCACAAATTAAAGCCAGGAGGTGCGCAGGCGGGAAAAGGAAGGCCACAGGTAGATCTGGAAAAAGTATATGGGGGCCCGTGTGGGCACGGAGTACGCGCACTCCTGGCAGCGGGGGTGGAGTGATGGAGGAGGTGATCAGGATCGCGTATCCTTCCTCCCCTCGCGCCTCTTCCTCGGCTCGGCCCGTTCAGGCTTGGGCCAGAGCCAACGAGGGCTGGGACGAAGTGGGCCGAAGCCGAAACGTGCCGATGCCGAAACGTGCCGAAAAAGCCGAAACGAGCCGAAACCGACACGGACCAGAGCCGAAACGGGCCGAAGCCGAAAGCGGCCTCTTCCATATCGGCCGGGTACATCCACTCATCCATCTATCCGCTTGCTTCATCGTCTCCATCCTCCCCTCCCTCCTTTTCACCCAACCTCTCCCTTCCGGCGGCACGTGCTCACAAAAAGGCACGTAAAGTCGGACTCTCCCTCCGCCCCGCGTCGCAGAGGTTCGCCCCACTGGCTCTCTCCCAGAGTGGCGGGGCATCCTCCTCCTCCTCTCGGAGGACGACAACGATGCAGATCCACCTCGCTTCACCCCCTCCCTTCCCACAGGAGGAACACAGTCAGAGCAGCAAGGGGGAGGGAGGAGGACCGAGCTGGATCGGTGTAAGCGTTCGATTCCCTCCCTCCCTCCCCCCTGGCGCGTGTGAGCGGACCATGACAGGCGGGGCGCGGAGGCCGTCAGAGGCAGTACGAGGACATCGAGGAACAACACCTGGCATAAACATGATATTTCTACGCTCCGCGCGGATTTCTCGGATCGGCGCTGAGGCCCTGCTCGGCGGCGCCTCCAGCGCCGCCCCTGGCGCGCTCCGCACGCCAGGGCGCCGGGGAGGGCGATCCAGCGCCGAACCAAGAAATCTGCTTGGGCCGTCGAAAGGTTATGCTGGTGCCGTGTTTCTTTCCCTGACGAAGGGACACAGACCGGATCATGCAGACGCCCTGGCCTGTGGGCTGGTCGGTCTTCTGACCAGGAAGGCTTCTGAAGCTGGCCTGGGCCAGTCCTCCAACCTCCCTCTGCCTCCGGCGGTCCAGTCCTCCTCGCGTCGCTGCCCTTCCCTCCCTCCTCGACAGCCGCCTCGGCCCCAGGCGCCCCCGACGGCGCACCCCTGCCGCGCTCGCACGGCAGCAGCGCTGGCCTGCCGCCTCGAGGCTAACGTTCACGCTCCTGACGTCGGCGCCGCCGCGGGTGGCCCCGCAGCGCTGGCGCGCGCCAGCAGCCGCCGCCGCCGCGGTGGTGCACCGGGGGTGCGGCCACGGCCGAGCGGGCGGGTGGTAATGGGGCGTGGCCCACATGGTGGGTGAAGAACAGAGCCCTATAGAGGGGCCCTGCAGGGCCCCTCTTGGGGCCAGCTGGTGCCCCAGAGGAGCCCTCGAGGGCCTCTTTGGGGCACTCTTCGTCACCCACCGTTTGGGCCACCCCCCATTTACCAGCCTGGAACCTATCCCTATCCCTATGTTGGGCATCGCCTCATCACGATGGCGATCTTACGGATTCCCTCAGTTTCTGAGGGTGCAGCCCTAAGATTGTCATCGCCTTTGGGCGTGTCAATCTTAAGGATAGGGATACGTTCGAGGCTGGTTTGGTTACCCATTGCCACCCGCCCGACACCCGTTGTGCGCGACGCGCTGGTCTCGCGGCGCAGCGCCGGGCAGCCGGCCGCGCCACTCGGCGGCGCGCAAGACGGGGGGGTGGCTGGGGCAGCTCCCCGGGGTTGCGGGGGGTGGCCCGCGTTGCCACGGCCAGGCGCAGCTCAGAGGCCTGGGCTTGGCTTGGATGGGCCTCCTCCTCCTCCTATGCCTCTCCTCCTTCCTCCTCCTCCTCCTCCTCCTCCTCCTCCTCCTCCTCCTCCTCCTGCTCCTCCTCCTCATCCTCCTCCTCCTCAGATTACCAGCCTCGAACGCGTCCCCATCCCTAAGATTGACACGCCAAAAGGCGATGACAATCTTAGGGATTCGCCCTCAGAAAAGAAGGGAACCCCTAAGATTGGCATCGTGATGAGGAGGTGCCCAGCATAGGGATAGGGATATCTTCCAGGCTGGTAATCAGAGGCCTGGGCTCGGCTTAGATGGGCCTTGGGAGTAGGGCAAGCGCGGGGGGCGGGCGTCGAAGAAGGCATCCCGCCTCAAAGACGCCCTCCTGCCTTCTGAGAAGCCTCCTTGGAAGCCCAAGGAAAGAGGAGGGGGCGGTTCCTTGTCGGAGGCCCCCTTGCGTCATCGCAGAAGCTTCCACAAAGCCCTCGTCGAGGACTTGCTCCCCTCGCCCCCAAGCCCTTCTGCGCGCCGCCAGTGGACTGCGGCGCCGCTGTCGAGGCATGCAGGCGGCGCGCCGACTGGAGGGGGGCGCTCTGGGCCTTCGCCGAGGGCAGGCCGCAGGGCAGGGGTCCGGAGGCCACCGTCCGCAACGCGCTCCTCAGCGCCTGCGTCCGTGGCAGGCGTCCGCAGCTGGCCCTGGATCTGCACGACGCCATGACAGAGCAGAGGTTCGCGCCCACCGTCGTAACATACGGAACCTTGATCAGCGCGTGCGACAAGGCTTCTCGCACTTCGCGGGCGCTGAGGCTGCTGGAGGATATGGAGGCGCGGGGAGTCACGCCGAACGCCGTGTGCTTCAGCGCCCTGGCCGCTGCTTGCGAGGCCCAGGGGCAGCCAGAGCAGGCCGAAGAGCTGCTCGGCGCGATGGGCGGGCGGCGCTTGGCGAGGAGCCTCGTCACGCTGGGCGCTCTGATGAGCGCGGCCGCGAGAGCGAGCCAGCCACGGAGGGCTCTGGAGCACTTCGCGGCGGCGCGGCGGCTGCGGCTCGACCCTGGGGTGATCGCCTTCAACATGGCTATCAGCGCTTGCCGGCACGTCGGGAAGCCTAGCAGGGCCCTGGGGCTGCTGCGCGAGATGCGGGGGTTGGGGCTGTCCCCAAGCGTTGTCAGCTACAACGCCGCCATCAGCGCGTGCGAAGGCGTGCAGGAGTGGGCGGCAGCGCTGGGGCTTCTCAACGAGATGGGGGTGCGGAGGATCTCGCCGGACGTCGTCACGTACAACGCGCTGATCCGCGTTCAGCGCAGGGGCGAGGGCGCTGGCAGGGTGTCAGATCTGATGGCCGAGATGCAAGCGCGGGCTTTGGAGCCCAACGCTGTCACCTACGCCGCGGCCATTGGCGCGTGCTCCGACAGGCCCGAGAAGGCGATGCAGCTGCTGGCGGAGATGTACGAAGTGCGGGTGCGGCCACAGACCGTCGTCTGCAACACGCTGGTCTGGGCGTGTGGCCGCGGCGGGCGGCTGGAGACGGGGCTCTGGGTCCTGAAATCAATGCGCTCGCTGGGCCCCCCGCCCGATTGCATCACCTACAACTCCCTGCTCGGCGCCTGCGCGACGGCCAGGCAGCGCGGACGCGCGGCGGCCCTGTTCGACGAGATGCGCGACTGTGCCCTGGAGCCCGACGCGGTCACCTACAACTGCCTGATCGCCTCCTGCCACGAGGTG